AGGATGTCAATAACTGGTGAGCAGGATAACAATAACTGTTGAGCTGGTTGTAATTAACTGGTGAGCAGGATGGCAATAACTGTTGAGCTGGTTGTAATTAACTGGTGAGCAGGATGTCAATAACTAGTGAGCAGGATGTCAATAACTGGTGAGCAAGATGACAATAACTAGTGAACAGGATTTCAATAACTGGTGAACAAGATGACAATAACTAGTGAACAGGATTTCAATAACTGGTGAGCAAGATGACAATAACTAGTGAGCAGGATGACAATAACTAGTGAGCAGGATGACAATAACTAGTGAGCAGGATGGCGATAACAGGATGTTGAATGTTGGAAATAAAGGCATATGTGCAAATTATTAATATACCCTATACCATAGATTACTACTCAAGCATAACATAGATGAACGCAAGTTATGTTAAACTACGCCATCAGTGTATAACAAAGTTACATTCACATGACCTAAACGTGTATATGGCATATGTTGAATTCTTTTAGTCTAAAAAGAGTGTGGTTAACACTTTTACCACTTCCATTTCTGAATCTCCAGACATTGAGCATTAACTTAAGAGCAAATTTGAAATTTTTGTAAAGGCAGCCATATTATGATTACAATTTCAGTGCAATTGAACATTTTTGACTCCCATGTGCGAAGCACATAATGGGAGTCTTTGCAGTTAGTGTGTCTGTGTGTGTGTATGTGTGTCCGACTGTTCCACTGCTATCTCAAGAACCATACATCGGTTTTTGATGAAACTTGGTGCATAGATGCTCTGGGCCAATGCGCAGATTTGATTAGGTTTTGGTAAAAATCCATGCTCGTTAATTATTATAAATTTAGATTTATATATATATATTTAATGAATGAGTCTATATTTCACGGATGCCTATTAATATCTAGAGTACTGTAGTACGATGATATTATTAATTTGCATCATTTCAGATGGCGGGATTCGGTAGCAGGCTTCATTCTTACCAGTCAAGTTTGCTGCAGTTTATGCAGCTCTCTTGGTCGTGGTATACGTTGCGGGCGACCAGCAACGTAATATCAAAATAGCTTAAGCGGCCAATAAGATCTGCTAAACTGCAGCAACAGTCAAGTATGTTCTCACCATTAATGGGTGAAAATCAACAGTTTGAAATTGGTCTATCAATTAATTGTATTATTGTTGAGTGAAAACATTTATATTCGTAACATATCTGTATGCTAATGAAGGTTATTATTCCGAAATGTTGTAAAACATG